ATATTTAAAATATAAGTTTAGAATATAGCAGTCAATAATAAAGGTAAACAAAGGAGGATAAAAATGAGAATAAAAGAGAAAAATGCATATGTGTATTTAAAACTGACAAAACTTGGCAGGCTAAACAGTAAAAGACACAGTAAGATTGAGTACAAAAGTATGAGCAAATACAAGGTGGAAGAGATGAGTTTTTGGCTGAGTGTTAAAAATGTTGAAGGGAGGTACAGGCACAGAGATGGAGAGGCAGAGAATTTTACAGTTTAGGAGCAGTAACACTAAAAGCCCTGTCTCCTGTGGTGCGGAGGTGAGAGGACAGGAAGCAGGTGAGTGTCAGAGGATCTAAGTGTGCGTGCAGGTGTATGGGAGAAGGAGGCTAGACAAGTAAGTGGGGCCGAAAACATGTAGAGACTTAAAGACAGATGAAGTATCATGTGCTGTATGTGAAAGGGAACAGGTATACACTATATGATGCAATCACGTTAACATGGAACAGAATCTCAAAGTAATTTTTCCAACGCTGAATCCAACGATGAATTGCTGCTGAAAGCAAAACGGGGGTTCTACCCAGTATTAGTATGGTATTCCTGTAGTGGCCAATGAGTTTGTGTGTGCATTGCTCTAGCTGTGGTCAGAATTAATGTGCTTAAATATTTGATTATTCCTGCAATTTAAATGAGTGTTTGATATATCATGTGACTCTGGGGGGAAATTGTAGGAGGTGAGGATAGAGTTTACAGAATGGATTGCGGTCACTGTCTTTTCTTTAACCAGCTAATTGTTGTGTAGAGCAGAGCAAAGCATACCTCATGTACACCACAGCACATTGAGTGTTTCAGTTCAATATTGGCGCTCTTGAGACCTGAGGGTATATACACACTTTGACCGAATTTGCATAAATCCAGCATTTATTGTTTTAAGAGAAAACACATTATCAATTGAGAAAAACCCGAACATTTGATGACATCTTTGTCTAGACGGTTTTCCCACAGGAACACTACTAAAACTATGGAAGCCCTAAAACATTTTGCAACCCCCAAAGTTGCAGACTAAATCTCCCATGAACCTTGACCTATGACCTCATCACATGACTACCATTCAATCTCCTATCCCTGCTCAGTCACTTGATTAATAATGCCACTCACCTGTTTGCAGTAACACTATTTACTTTACATAACCTGGACTCTCAGTGTTACTTAATGTCTCGCTCCAGTATTGTGTCTGTGACAATTCCATGGATCTGTTTCCTGTCTGTTTTGATTAGTGCTTTGACAATAGCCTTATTGTCTAGTTTGTGCTTGTTTACCGATAGCTTGACCATTTTCCTGCCTGACATTTCTGATTCTCTAGCCATTTTTCCAAAAAAAAGTTTTTATTATTTTTAAATAAAACTAGGAAGCCTGCACTTGCATCTGTCTGCTGGCTTGGGCCACACACCGTTTTATTTAGTTTTTCCAAAATAATGAGTCAATTACATTTGTTTTCTTGTGATCTCAAGTCGTCTATTTTTGTCGACGAGATAACAAACGTCCTTTTCCTGAGACGCATAGTCTTGAGATAACAACATAATTAATTTCACGGAAACAAAGCATTCTCCTCCCCAGACAGTATATTGAATGGGAAGATGCCTTCTGAGAACAGGAGACTAAAAATGTTTCTAAAATTTGTAAAGATTTTATGAGAGGGGTGTCTACACATTCATATAGGCATTCCTGAGTGTTTGGATCAACATTTATGAAGCGTTTGTTTTACATGGCAGTAATACACTCCACAATGTCAATTTGTATTCATAGTTGTCATGTATTCATAGTTAGAACTGACTCACAACTATGAATATTAATTCCACAAGGTTGAGTCTTCATTACATTTGCATATATGTTTACAGTATTTGGCAGACACCTTTATCTAGAACATTATACAGAAGCAAACTGCTTTGTAGTTTCAATCGAAAGAACATTCTCATCCTATTACAAATAGGTCAGGGCCTAAGAACACTATCAAGCCCTGTTAGAGAGGAGTTAGCAAAATAACAAAAAATGTTTTCTATAAACCTAATGACTGTTTATAGCATTTGTCATTGTCAAGTGTCATTTACTGTCAGTAAAGTGACATGCAAAGCAGGATTTGTAAGTACTTCATATTATATATTCATAGAGGTGTTACTATACTATAGTAGTGCTGTCAAATTCCTAATTATCATGCAATATTATAATTTGGTAAATAAATATGAATCCATGCCTCCTAGGCCTTTTGTTGTTTTTAAAGTGTCTATTACTTGTAGTACAGAGAGAATTGAGAGAAAGATACAAATGGCAGCATATATTAGGCTTAGATGCGTTCTGTGAATAAATCTAAAATGAACAGACTGATAATTAGAAGCTTAATCTTAGAAGCTGAAATAAGTGTGGGTTTGTGAGATGGAAGAAGGCTGCATTGGCATTAAGCAGCTTGTAATAATGAAAGATAAGGGAATATTTGTCCCATCTGACATAATTTTTTTAGTCAGTTTCTTAGTCGCTCACCATAGCTATAAGCATATATTTAAGCTGGCAATAACAGGACCATATCTTAGTTTAGAGCACTTTATGGAAATAATGGACTGAATGAGGTCTTGCAGTTGGTGTGAATACAGTGAGTCAAGGCTTAAATGTGAGTTTAATATCTGTAAATTGTATTTGCTGCATTGTGATTCTAATGACATTTCTACTCAGATGAGGTACTAAACCTTGTGATTTTATTTTTAACTTTCTCATTTACAAGAGATTTATAATGATTCTCTTGTAAAAAAAATTTGTTAACCTGCAGCCTGAAAAATATATAGTCACATTTATAACCTGCTGCTATTTTAACGCTATTTTTAATGCTGCTTGTGAAAGATAAGTTTATATCCCTTACGATTTACTGTGTGAATAACCAAGATGTAGGTAAACACATGGTACCTTGTGCCCTGACCACCTGGTGACACATTCAGCCAGCTTGTGTGTTTTTTCTGTTTAGGCTCCTGTTATGAGATGAGTTCTCTGGTACCTGAATAGTCTGTATGACATCAGTCTCCTCAATGTACCTGAATTCTAGGCGAGAGCATGCTATTCAATATGCATTCAGGTGTGCTTACTCCCATATGTTTATCAGTGCATATAAAAATTATATTTAAAAAATTGGTATAAAAATTGTCTACACACCCCTGTTAAAATTGCAGATTTTTGTGATGTAAAAAAGTGAAACCAAAAACCAATTGTTAGATCTTAGACCAACAAAAATCAAGTGAGAAACAAATGTTAGGAAAATAAACATTGTAGGAAAAAATTTAAAAAGAAAAATCTTACAATATGCTGGTTGCAAAAGTGTATACACCTGAAAGAAATGTCATCTTAGCAAGTGAAAATATCTTAAATGTAGTCAGATTTATCTAGTATTTTCTATTATAAGATTACCATAAACCAGGAATAAGATTACTAAACCTATTTCTAGACCTTTTTTAAATACTAATTTCAAGCTTGAAATTGTCTTGTTGGATAATTTTGCAAATAATTTTGCTCATTTTAAGCATTTATTTCTAGACAGAAGCAAAATTATCTGCCGATAATATTAAAAAAAGTAAAGCTTACAATTAGTCAAAATGTCTTGAAATAGGTTTGATAATATTAGATTTGGTTTATTGTAATTTTATAATATTAAATACTACATACATTTGACTATATTCAAGATATTTGCATATAATGTCAGTTTTTGCAGTGAACACCTCTGAACTAATATTTTGTTAAAGCACCTTTTGCTTGTAATACAGCACTCTGTCTTTTTGGGTAAGAGTCTGATCTTGATTTGGCAGTTTTATTCCACTGTTCCTTGCGAAAATGTTCCAGATCTATCAAATTCTGAAGGGAGCTCTGGTGCACAGCCCTCTTCAAGTCACACAGGTTCCACAGGTTTTCAATAGGATTTATATCTGGGCTCTGACTGGGCCATTCCAAAACTTTGAATTCTTCTTCTGAAGCCATTCCTTTATTAATTTGGATTTGTAGTTATCATGCTGGAAGAAGACATTTTTAACTCATCTTCAGCTGTCTAACAGAGGCCTGTAGGTTTTGTGCCAAAATAGATTGGCATTTGGAACTATCCATGATTCCCTCTATCTTGACTAGATCCCCAGTATCAACTGAAGAAAAGTAGCACCATGGCAGGATGCTGCCACCATGCTTCTCCCTGGGTATGGTATTCTTCAGGTGAAAGCTGTCTTGTTTTTGCATAAAACATATCTTTTAAAATTATGCCCAAATGTTGGTCTCATCAGACCATAACACACATCTTGGGGTGATATAGGTGTGCTTGGATGCTTTCTCAAGGAAAAACTTGAGAAAGGGTTTCTGTCTTCTGCTCAGACATGTGAAAAATGCGAGAGATTGCTGTCACATACAAGGATTGACCAGTACTTGCCTGATCTTCCTGCAGCTCCTTTAATGTTGCCATAGGTCTTGTGGCCACCTCCCTCATAAGTTTTCTTCTTGTCTTTTCGTCTATTTTTATGTGACATCTTTTTCTTGGTAATGTTACTGTTGTTTCCCCTACTGTGGTTGATGATGGCCTTCACGGTGTTCCATGGTATATCTAATGTTTTGAAAATTCTTTTGTACCCCACTCCTGATCTATACCTTTCGACAGTGCCATAAAGTACATGCTTTAGATGAATCAAGAAGTCAAGAAAATAAAAAATTATTTGGTGTTAATCAGAATCACTTCAGTTCAATTAAATTTTATTTGTATAGCACGTTCAACAGTGGACATTGTCACAAAGAAGCTTTACAGAAATCCCTTCATTGATGACAGGTGAATAATAATTACTTTTAAACATGAGTTAATTTTGAGCACTGTCACATGCCCCCTTACAAAACACACTTGTGCAGCCAGATTATTGTAAGTTTTTTCTTTTTTCCCTGGTAAAACATTTATAGTTGTTTTTCACTTGAATTGTGATGGTTAGTATATCACATTGTGGGTGGGGTGAGTTCCCTGGCTGGGAATCGAAACTTGACTGTGGCGGTGAGTGTGCCAAGGCATAACCACTAGTCCTCCAGGGATCCAGTTGCTTGCTATATCACATTAAAGGTGGTAAAATAAAGATCTGACATGAGTTATCTCAGTTTCATTTTTTTACTTCAGCAAAACCTACAATTTTAACAGGGGTGTGTAGACTTTTTATATCCACTGTACTGGTCACCATACCCCAGGTGCTGTTGTCTCATCTGATCAGTCACCTGCTGTCTAGTTAGAATCCATTGCCCCATAATCAAATACCAAAGGTTACCTAGTTCCAGATGTGCTGCTGTGTGGTTTGTCTACCTGTTTAGACATACACTATATTGCCAAAAGTTTTGGGACATGCACATGAAATTTAATGACCCATTCTTAATCTGTAGAGTTTAATATGGAGTTGGCCCACCCTTTGCAGCTATAACCGCTTCAACTCTTCTGGGAAGGCTTTCCACAAGGTTTAGGAGTGTGTTTATAGGAATTTTTGACCATTCTTCTAGAAGCGCATTTGTGAGGTCAGGCACTGATGTTGGTCGAGAAGGCCTGGCTCGCAGTCTTCGCTCTAATTCATCCCAAAGGTGTTCTGTCTGGTTGAGGTCAGGACTCTATGCAGGCCAGTCAAGTTCATCCACACCAAACTCACTCATCCATGTCTTTATGGACCTTGCTTTGTGCACTGGTGCACAGTCATTTTGGAACAGGAAGGGGCCATCCCCAAACTGTTCCCACAAAGTTGGGAGCATGAAATTGTTCAAAATGTCTTGGTATGCTGAAGCATTAAGAGTTCTTTTCACTGAAACTAAGGGGCCAAGCCCAACCCCTGAAAAACAACCCCACACCATAATCCCCCCTCCACCAAACTCTACACTTGGCACAATGCAGTCAGGCAAGTACGGTTCTCCTGGCAACCTCCAACCCCAGACTTGTCCATCGGATTGCCTGACAGAGAAGCGTGATTTGTCACTCCAGAGAACGCGTCTCCACTGCTCTAGAGTTCATTGGCGGCGTGCTTTACACCACTGCATCCGACGCTTTGCATTGCACTTGGTGATGTAAGGCTTGGATGCAGCTGCTCGGCCATGGAAACCCATTCCATGAAGCTCTCTACACACTGTTCTTGAGTTAATCTGAAGGCCACACGAAGTTCGGAGGTCTGTAGCTAATGATTCTGCAGAAAGTTGGCGACTTCTGCGCACTGTGTGCCTCAGCATGCGTTGACCCCACTCTGTGATTTTATGTGGCCTACCACTTCGTGGCTGAGTTGCTGTTGTTCCCAATTGCTTCCACTTTGTTATAATACCACTAACAGTTGTCCGTAGAATATTTAATAGTGAGGAAATTTCACGAATGGACTTATTGCACAGGTGGCAACCTATCACGGTACCACGCTTGAATTCACTGAGCTCCTGAGAGCGACCCATTCTTTCACAAATGTTTGTAGAAGCAGTCTGCATGCCTAGGTGATTGATTTTATACACCTGTGGCCATGGAAGTGATTGGAACACCTGAATTCAATGATTTGGAGGGGTGTCCCAAAACTTTTGGCAATATAGTGTATCAGGCTTGGCTGCAACATGAGGCCTAAAAATTTAGAGCATCTATGATGATATTGGACAGGATCATGTTTCTCTGTCAGGGCTGGCTTGTAAAGCAAGTTCCCTCAGTAGCACTCTCCAGCCACTAATCTCATAGGGAGGGATGCCGGTGCCCCTACTAGACACACTAAAATTTCCTCTGGTCTCACACAGTATATTGGAAATAATGAAAATATTGAATTTACAGTACAGCTTTAGTGGATGTCAGTTCGATATTTCAGCCTGTAACTTTACAGGAGTAGTGGTTGCACTTGCAGTGTCATTGAGCTGTGTCTATTTTAGTTTAAGACTTTTAATGTAGTTGTAATGAATGTTAGCCCAGTTGAATTCTCTAATCTGATTGATCAGGAGATGTGCATTATTTTTGTATAACAACACAACTCAGAGAGTTGTAACCCAGGTTACCATAAGTCCTGCTGAAGCTGAAAAAAAAGGGAAAAAAGAGTATTAATAGCATTCACAGATATGACAGAGTTATTATTATTTTTTATTTATTATCTGTGAAGTTCTGTGAAGTTAAGAGTTTTTTTTTTAAAAGTAAAAAAAATAAAAAATAAAAATAAAAAAATTCATTTAGAATAGTATTTAATTGAACATGTGGAAAATTGGCCCAATTAGATGAATGGGAAGAGAGCCCCGCCTAAAAGGGCCGGTGCCAGGAGGGACGGAGGGAGAATGTTCTTAAGGCCAAAAAAAAAAAAAAAAAAAGCGGCTGGTGAATCTGCTCCTGATGCAGTGATTAGGTGATCCTGAAAAAGAAGAGAAAAAAAAAACAGAGTGCACAAGAATAATTAACAGTTGTATCAGAGAAATAGTAGAGATTTTGAAATAGAAGCGCGGATTGAACGTCATCAGTCAGTGACCACAAGTGGATGTTAGCATGAGCGCTACAAAGGTGAAAAAAAAAATACGCTTCTTAAAGTCGGAGCTTTTGCCGTCCTCGAGTCTTTCTAAGTGAAAATCGAGTTCTCTTGGTAAGTGAAGTAAATGAATTCTCAGTTACTGATGTTTTTGTGTGAATGTTGGGCAAATAGTGTTCAAATATTAAACGCTGTAGTGTTATATACATGTTGAATGTAAAAGACATATAAAAGTTAATCTTCTGTTCAAAATGGGAAGGATATTATGTGACTGTGCCAAATAACTAATGTTTCAAGATTGAAGCTACTTTTGAAAAGTTTACGAGTGCTGTTTTAATTGTTGCGTCGTGTTATTGAGCTATGAGCTAATTGTTAATTGTTAACCGTGACGCGCGTGATACGGGCAGATGTGGCCTAAAAAGCGTCACTTGATGTTATTCAGACATTTATGCAGTTTCAGTGTGTTAGTGTTAGATAAAGATGGAGTTAAGTATGTTGAATGTTGCTTTATTTACAGATCTACTGTTGTAATGATGTATATTTTTGCAAAGAAATGTCTAATTGTATTTCTGGCCTTGTCTTTTGCAAGGTTGGGTCTTTTTTTTTTTGTGTGTCTTTTCTTGTTTTTTTCCCCCCCTATCCTTTCCCTTTTCATCACCCCCTGAGTTGGGTGCTTCTAAATTTTTGCTGGACACTGGGCGATTTCAGAGGATTTTGAACTTGAGCTGTCCCTGCTTCGCGTTAAAAAGCGTCACCGCGTGCAGGAACTGGCGAGCCATGCCCATATAAGGACTGAGCTTTGGGGCTCAAGTAATCAACAGGGTGGTAGGACTGTACATATTATTATTTTCCCTTTCCTGACTCAACTGTTTTGCTCAGAATTGAGTCATTTCCGGAAGAAGGATCTCGTGGAAGCAATATTAGACTGGGACTGAAATTGACTGAAATTCCAATTTATATTGAAATTGTTGTTCTAAAAAACTATTTTCCACAATAAACAAACTGATTAGGAACAAAGTAAATAAATAGGAGAACGTCATTATAAACACACATTAGCAGATAAAGGGTAGTTAATTTTATTAGCTTGAACCTCAGTAGGTCAAAGGAAGAAAAACTAATCAACAAATTAAAATTACTAATAATAGTTAAATAGCTAAATAGGATTAAAAACACAAGAAAACAGTGTAAATCTACATCGTTGGGACAAGGTGTTACTGTTTATTTTTCTTCCCAAGTTGTGACACTGTTTTGAATTTTGCTGTTTTGTTTTCCCAATACATCTTACCTATTCCTAACACATCCAGTGCTGTTGTTTCCTTTCCTCCTTGTTGTTGAGCCTGTCTCTTGAGCGAGTTTAGTCTTCTGTTAGCTGGTCCAAATCTGGAAATAGTGCACCCTCTTCACACTCATCTCCATCAGTCACTGGGTGAGAGCGAGGATTGCACTCGTGACGCGACATGCGTTACAGAGTAGTTCTGGCTGTAACATGACTGATAGGTTCATATTAATGTGCTTATTCTAATACTTTATTTTTTCTATAGTATAACAGCTCATACATGGAGACTTCTACGGTGGACACTCCACACCGTCTAAGACTAATAATAAATGGATTTGAAAAATGTGCTGTTAAGTAACAAAGTAGAATGGATAATCATTGATATGGTGATGTTTTTTGTTAGAAGACATTATTTAACATTTATGGAAGGAGTCTTGGTTGTAAGTGTTTTGTAACAGTCTCAGTGCTTTGTGGTTACTTGTGGTAAAATGACCGGCTATTTTTTAGAGAGAGAGGTGCTGGAATGATTATCACAGCTATAATGTAGGTTAGAACAGGAACTAACTTGTTTCTCGGATGTTCCACAATAAATCTTACTTTAGACCATTAAAATGCAGGACATGTCATTCATTAATAAATTAACCATTGTAACCATTGTCAAAGTGCTGTGCTATAAGATGAAAAACACACTCCAGATCATGCTATAATGACTTTGCGTGTAGCAGCATGCATTATTTGCATATGACAGCATGGTCTGTTGTGTTTTTCCTTATGTATTATCTAGTCTGCGTGGCATGTTGTCACAGCTGAGCTCAGGTTACTTTCTGTCCATGTGGGTTTTCTCCAGGTTCTCTGAGTTTCCTCTTACCTCACAAAAACGTGCCTGTAGGTGAACTGACTATGATAAATTGTGAATGTGTGTGTGTGTGTGTGTGTGTGTGCGCATGCGCATGGTGCCCTGCGATGGACTGGCGTCTCATCTAGTGTGTCCTGTCTCACACCCGGGATAGGTTCCGGATCCACCAGCACCCTCACCACGATAAATTGGTTACTTAAGATGAATTAATGAAATATTATGCACACATTTAACTTGCACACCACAGTAGTGCGGCTCTGTTCTGCAACATATTGCCAGACCTTGCTTCTCTTTTTCATATTTTCTCACTGATTGCCTCTGGACTTAGGGTAGAACAAGTACCCAAATAGTAATTTCTGTATTTGAATGCTGGCTCCTCAAACTGAGTATAGTTCCTAAGAGGAGTTCTAAAAAGTGCAAAGATTATTACTGATAAAATCAAGGTGTGTATTAAATCCTC